GCTATCCCCCTCTTGGTGCAGCCCTGTCTTACCTTAGGAGCCCGCAACTATTAAGAAAGGTGCAGACACGCTTAGGCAAGACATGCTTCAACTGACGAGGGCGTCACATTCGTAGACTATATGCTTGGTAGTTTCATCTACTTCGCTGCAGAAGCTATATTCCATCTCATTGCTGAGTCCGATTTTGTGTAGTTGGTATCTGACCACCCAGTGTTCCGTCAGGACGGCTGTGATGGCTCTCAGTTGGCTCCTGTTCAGTTTCAGGAGGCTTTTTGCCTCTTTGCAGTATGAAGGATCTTGTTTAAAGATCTTTGACTGTCTAAGGCAATCCTGTTCCAATCATTTGCCTTGGAGCCGGTTGTTGGACCGGTTCCTGATCTTGGCTTTCACCAGGCAGGAAGCAACCCCAACAGCAGGCTCGGTCCCCATAAAGGCAGTCTTGCTACTTTCACGAGCCAGCTGGTCTGCTGTGACCCTCGAGTTGAACTTGTCTGAGCCAAAGGCTCGGAGTGCTTCCAAACTTACCCATGATAACCTGGTAAGTTTGCAATTTTTATCAGACATTTCCAAACTTACCAATAATAAACCGGTCAGTTTGCAACTTTAATCAGACATTTCCAAACTTACCTATAATAACCCAGTGACTTTGCCGTTTTATTCAGACATTTCCAAACTTAGCGATATTAACCTGCGTGACTCGACTCTAGTCACTCTCTCATCCCTGCCGGATTATTATCGGTGGGTTTGGTAATGTCTGGTTAAAATTGCAAACTAACCCAAACTAACCGGGTTATTATCGGTAAGTTTGGTAGTGTCTGATTAAAACTGCAAATCAATTCAAACCAACCAGGTTATCAACGGTAAGTTTGGTAATGTCTGATTAAAATCTTGAACTCCGGGTAATTATGGGTAAGTTTGGAAATATCTGATTAAAAGGGCAAACTAACCGGGTTATTACAAATTGAAAACCAACCGGGTTTAATTGCATTTTTGTTCCGTCGCGCTTTCGTTTCTCGCGCTTTAATCCAGTCGCGTTTTTGCCCATTGCGCTATATTCCAGTCGCGTTTTATTTCTGTCGTGCTTTTGTTCCTCGCGCTTTTGTCTAATCGTGTTTTTGTCCATCGCGCCTAATTCCAGTCGCGTTTTTGTTCCGACGCGCATTTGTCTCTCGCGTATTTGTTCCTCGCGCTTTTGTCCAGTCGCGTTTTTGTCAATCGCCCTTTTTTCCAGTTGCGTTTTTGTCCATCGCGCTTTTGTCTTGTCGCGTTTTTGTTCCGTCGCGTTTTTGTTCCGTCGCGTTTTTGTCACTCGCGCTTTTCGTATCGCGCTTTTCTCCCTCGCGCAAATGTCTATCGCGCAAATGACACAGATCCGAGTAACCTCTCTGAATATTCTCCTGAGCACATGCCAGTATGGCGTAGATTTCAGTCTGGTATACCGTTAGGCTCTAGCCAGTCGTCCCTTGCAGGGATGACGACCTTGTATTGTCTAGGAGGGGCTGAGGTTTTTGGCATTGCATTCCTTCTGGTGAGAAGGGGGTCCTGCCTGATGGCGTCAGTCCAGGCACTTACATGTCCCGTACTTCTATAGGCCCAAAGGCTAGCAGTGGCTCTCTGAACGACCCTGTTAATGTGATCTTGTCAGGTCAGCCTAGAGCCAATGATGACTCCTAGATATTTGACCATACCGGATGAAACAAGTCTCGATCTAACGAACCTTCCAGGCAGTGGCGTATTTCAAAATTTGGCGCCCTGGGCCTTTAAGGTTTAACAAAAAAAATTAAATAATAGCTGGGTTCGGCTTGCACACTCCGTGCACTCCGAGTGACTCCGTTCGCACTCCAGCCGTTCGGGTATTGCCTTTTAACGAATCAGACAACGGCTAGGGTGTGAAACTGTGATGATACGTAATGCTATTTCCGTATAAGGAAATACTTCCTTCAAATTCTTTGCCTTAATAAATAATATGTTGAGCTGCCTCAAACTCATTTTGCTTTGATAAGACATTAAGAATTGTTTTAAAAGGACACATTCTTCTTGTAGATCGTCCGTAAGATCAATCGGGTATAATTTATGGATTTTTATGGCGTTAACTCAAATTTTTGCTTCGGAAATTACATGTGATTTGCATAGAAATAAAAATGCAAGATTGGGGGTTTTACGCCGCCTCAACTCTGCTAAAAATCGGTCGCATTAGGGAAGAAAAGTATCTAATAATTCTGAAATGGTCCCGTTCCCCTAACAACACTTCTCCCTAGGAGAAATGCGGAATCGAGACGGATGGGTGTTATCTGATGTGGACGGTCACCGAATCGCCCCATTTCTTGTAATGTTATCAACCAAATAATAAGTTTTAGTTGTTTTTTTTGTTGCTTCGTTGTTAATTGTTAATTCAATAGCATTCATAAGCGCTGGGGACGCATTTCGTGCCGCCCCTTGCAGCCCTACCGCATCGGGCCATGGCCCTATGGTAAATACGCCACTGCTTCCAGGTCCACGTTTCTTCGCTTTGTAAATGTACTATCTCGGTCTTGTCCGGATTTACGGAAACTCCGTTATTTTTACATCATCTTTCTACTTTTTTATAGAGTCGAATGAGGTGTTAAATGCCCCTTCGATGTCTAGAAATACACCCCTGGCCATCTTTTTTTGAGAAATCCCTCACTCCAGTCTTGCCACAAGAATATGAAGAGCCATCTCAGTTGACATTGGAGTCCTGAAGGCGTGTTATTTAGGGTGCATGGGCATTGCTTTCAATGCCCCTTGCCTAATAAATATGTCCACCAGTTTATCCAGCGTTCTTAGAAGAAACGAGGATAGACTGATGGGTCTATAATCCTTAGGCGATTCGTAATTATAGGTACCTGGCTTGGGGATAAATACTACTTAAACCTTATGCCACGAATGTGGTACTGGAACTGCGGAATCAGTATTTTCAGTTTCTTTTGTAAAAAAAGCCGGAAAGATTCAATCCGGTCCCGCACTCTTAAAAGCTCCAATTGAGTGGATGGTCCATCTTACGGAGTTTTCTGATACCACTCGTGCAGCTATTTTCCAGTCAGCTGGCCTTGCGCCAGCTTGTGGAGCGTGCTTTGGTGGCTCACCAATTTGCAGGATTTCAGAGCCCGGAAAGTGTGTTTCCCGGAGCCAACCAAGTGCCTCCTCTCCGGTAGCTCTATAACCAAGGTTCCTACACTCTACTAGGTATGCACATCTTATTTCCATCCGATTGTGACGTCACAGCTGACAAGCCATCAGCGTCTCGTCAATTCGGATAAATTAATAATAAATGTGATTTTTTGTATTGTTTATTTGCAATACGCAATACAGTCTCAGAACAAGTCACTATTTTCGAAAAACACAATAAAAAAAAAGCTAAGCACATAAAATATTTGATTCCGTCTGTGACGTCACGCTTCCTAACATCAAAATCGACAGAGTGTGCATACCTAGTAGAGTGTATAGGAACCTAAGCTATAACTACCCGTGGGAAGCTTTAGTGACCCCAGCTCTCCTAAGTCTTTTGAGAGAATATTTTGGAGCTTGGCGGTTGCCGAAAGCTCGTCAACGTTTCCGCAGAGCGTCCTTCATGATTATCTTCTGGGCCTTTTTATGAGATTTTTGTATCTGCGCTGAGACTAATTGTGGCTTTCCAGTCAGCTACTGATTTAGATCGTGTGGCCCTGTTAAAGAGCCTGCGGGTTTCTTTATGAGTCTTGTTGAGGTTGGAGTTCCACCAAGGGGTTTTCTTCTTTCCTGGATAGGTCTAGAGCTCACAGCTTTGTTCATATGCATTGGTGATTGCTTTGCGTATAAATTCGGCTGTTTCCTCCACTTGCCTTGTGCTGCGGCATGGCGAGGAAAACTCTTCTAAGATTACCTCTTAGGATCTCAACGTTCCAGCTCGTGTTCTGGGGGTTTCTGAACTTATACTGGGCCCAGCATTGTGATCAAGGTCCAAGCTGAATAGGATGTGTCTGTGATCCGATAGGGAGGGTTCGTCAGACTTTATCCACTTGCTTATCATCGGGGCCACGGATACTGAGCCCAATGTCAAGTCTATCACCTCTTATCTACGCGAAGTGGTGAATATTTTTCCTAGTAGAAGATCTTGAATCGGCATTTTAGGATTCTCCTTATCTCTGGTAGCACAGGTCCCATGATTGTTTAGATCAATCGATGCATATGTATAGCTGCAGGCTTCTCTACCATTTTTTTGATTGATGAAGCATTTGGCAGTCGCCTTCTTCTCTACTGGTAATGAAAACCCAGATTATTTGCCTGAGGAAAAAATACAATCAACCATGCAAGTCCACTGTTATACAACCCCAACCGCTAGATTAGATTTTGCAATGTAAGACCTTAGAGGTAAAAATCGAGTTTCCATTCAATGGATATCGCTAGCTACGGACCGGTTTTTGAACTCATCAATTCTTGTATAATTTATTGTTCTCAATCATCACCTACTTCAATCGGACTTTGTGTTCAAAATCTTGGAGCAGAAGCTTCAATAGTATATAACAGCCAAATTAGGTAGTCCAGAGTCGACTCAAAAACGAAAAATATTGACCAGCGATTTATTGGAAATCGACCATTCACTATTGAGAAGTTCACGTGATATAATTATATAATTTCAAACTGGTGCCTGAGATCATTAAGTATTAAGAAAGTAAATATCGTTTTACACGCTCCTAGAAAAAATATAGTTACCAAGTGGAAAAAGGAGATTTTCCGCATTATTTCATATTACAAATTTAGGATTAATTTTATCCAAAAAAAAAGTTACTTGTTGCTAAGCACGTGCCTATTGTATGGACTCCTAAAATTTATTACCTGAAAAAAAAATATTCATTTAGGTACCTACTTTTGTTACAAATTTCAAAAAAAATTTAATATTAATGGCTTTTACAAAATGATAATCCTTATTTATATTTATCGATAAATGGTAATTTGTACTAAAATAATGGCATTTTTTTAGGCTTTTTGGACTGTATAAAATGGAAAGTGGTTCTGGCAGAAGGCGTATTAGTGTCAACTTCCTATCTCCTAAAGTCAACATGAATAGTAAATTCTTTTCCGTTATTGTGAGCTGCCTGCTCTTGAGCAACTTCTTTATTGGTAAGTCATCCATATGAAAATAATCGCTTAGAATTTTGGTAGGTAGTTGATATTATTCAATCAACCAAATGCTTCTATTATACAGAGTGAGTTTTATGTATGGAAACGCCCAATTATCTCAAAAACGGCTTGCTCGATTTTTATAAATTTTGGTATGTGAGGGTATTGTTATATGGCCGATATTATCGTGCCATTTACATGGTTGTCAGATCATTCGATTTTTGGCAACTATTAGGAACTTTGTTATTTCAAATGGATCACCCTGTATATTTTTCAGTTTTCGTAATCCCTGAATAATACTGAATATTTTTCATGAAATGTTTCCTATACCCAAATGCCTTAATTTAGGAATTATAGCTACATTTACATTAAAAACCGCAAAAGTTGAAATAATTCATTGGCTTGTCCCGCGTGATGAGAGCTCGTCGCGGGAGCGTCTCGTCATGTCTGTGCACACCTTAAGATCTCTATGACTACAAAAATAATAGCTTTCACGTTTCAGTAAATTATTATTTGTCAGTTTTCATTGAATGTGATAATGAATCGTTTATCTGAAAAAGAACGAATTGAGATTTTGATGATATTGGGATATGGTGATAGGCGTAGAAGTCAACAAGAAACGTGTGATATTTTCAATGATTTATATCCCAACCGCAATCCCATTACAAAATCAACTGTTAGTAAATTGCTTAAAAAGTTTACCCAAACTGCTGGAGTAAAAGATCTACCCAAATCAGGGCGCAGGAAGACTAAATCAACTGACAACAAATCTCTAGATGTTTGTGTCATGTTAGAAGACGATCCTCACTTGAGTACTAGGCAAATATCCAGGGAACTTGAAGTTTCTCAAACAACCGTGATGAGAATTCTGCATGGTAATAAATTCCATCCATACAAAGTGAGGTTGGTTCAGGAGTTGTCAGATGACGATTTTGATAGACGTGAGGAGTTTGCCGATACAATGATGAGAAAATGTTACGATCCAAACAATCCAAATTTTTTAAATAATGTTATGTTTAGCGATGAGGCCACTTTTCTTATCAATGGCAACGTAAATCGGCATAATTGTAGATACTGGTCTCGTAACAATCCTCATTGGATGCGTGAATCCCACACCCAATATCCCGAGAAACTGAATGTATGGGCTGGAATAATAGGCGACAGAATAATTGGACCGTTTTTTATTGAAGGAAACTTGAATGGTCCCGCGTATTTACGTTTATTGGAAGATAGTATTATACCTGAGTTGGCTCGGTTATTTCCAAATCCAAGTGAGTATTTTCAATTGCCTTTAAAATTAAAAAAAAAAATAATTTATTGAAACTTTCAGACAATAACAATATTCCCCAAAACAATATTTGGCTGCAACAAGATGGAGCTCCACCCCACTATGCCCGTGAGGTGAGACAATACCTAAATCGTTTGTTTCCCGGAAGATGGATTGGAAGGCGTGGATCTATCGAATGGTCTCCTCGATCACCCGACATGAATCCTCTAGACTATTTCCTATGGGGCCACTTGAAAAACACTGTTTATAAAACAAAACCTCTCAATATTGAGGAATTGAGAGATAGAATCACCAACGAGATAAGAAGAATAGAGCAGACAGGGATGTTGCAAAATGTATTGCAAAGTTTTAAAAATCGCATGGCTTGTTGTCTGGAAGTCAACGGACAACATTTTGAGCAGCTGCTGTAATGGGTTGGATAAATTTAGATTTTTCAACCCTCGTTGGGTTCATCAGATCACAATCCCAACTCCGCAACCTGTGAACTAGCTATCAAACCATGGTTCAATAAAAACTGCTCAACAGCGGGAAATTATAAAAATGCTGCTTATTGCAAATGGCATCGTAATCCGACAGCCTAAAATCTCAATACATTCTCACGACTAGAAACCACTGTAAGCAGACCAATGGCGAAGAAGAAGAAAAAAAGGCAAAAAAACAGTTCGGAGAAGTGATCAATTAATAGCTCCTGTCGAGTGCCAAGGCACCAGCACAAAAGCTAGGGGCGCTCTATAGAGCATCCCTCGAAAACTGTTGCTGACCTGGAGTTGACCAAATACCATTAATAGCCATAAACCTCGGGAAAAAGTGGTAGACCTATCACTATTCTATCGATATCATTACAGCAGGTGCTCGAATTAACTGACACTTGTGACTCTGCCCAGAGTTGTACCAAACAGATACACTCGTCAACACAAGCAGCTCATGAACATACAATTCAGCTGCGAACACCTAGGACGTCACTGTTCAGAAGTCAATTTGGTCTGGAGGGCTGCCTAGCTCTGGAATGAACTTCCAAAGGCATGAATACTTTTCTCGAAAACTATAACCTACAGCGCAATGTCCATCGACATCTCAGTGTACACGCCGCTCGTTGAGTGGTAAAGGATTTTCCGTTTGTGTGTGAGCCAACCATGAAAAAGTAATATTAAGATAGCTATTGTTTTCAGTTAATTTAGTTTTCCTGCGCCCAGATTTGGGTAAATCTTTCATTGCATCAGTTTGGGTAAACTTTTTTACCAGCTTACTCACAGTAGATTTTGTAATGGAATTTCGGTTGGGATATAAATTATCTTGTGGACTTCTACGCATACAACCATATCCTAATAAAATTAAATTAAATTAAAATCTTAATTCGTTTTTTTTTTTTCAGATGAACGATTCATTATGGTATTCAATGAAAACTGACAAATAATAATTTACTGAAACGTGAAAGCTATTATTTTTGTAGTCATAGAGATCTTAAGGTGTGCACAGACATGACGAGACGTTCCCGCGACGAGCTCTCATCACGCGGGACAAGCCAATGAATTATTTCAACTTTTGCGGTTTTTAATGTAAATGTAGCTATAATTCCTAAATTAAGGCATTTGGGTATAGGAAACATTTCATGAAAAATATTCAGTATTATTCAGGGATTACGAAAACTGAAAAATATACAGGGTGATCCATTTGAAATAACAAAGTTCCTAATAGTTGCCAAAAATCGAATGATCTGACAACCATGTAAATGGCACGATAATATCGGCCATATAACAATACCCTCACATACCAAAATTTATAAAAATCGAGCAAGCCGTTTTTGAGATAATTGGGCGTTTCCATACATAAAACTCACTCTGTATATATATATATACCGGGTGTCTACGAGATCAGTTTCGCGCTGGCATTTGCTGGTTTTTTTTCGATGGCAAAGATTTTTGGTATAGAGTGTAGGTTTGAGAAATGTCATATTTTGACATGTGTGTCAATTTTTGGTCACTTCCGGTTTGACCGGAAATGGTCCTAACTCCGTAATTTTGAATGGCAACCCAATATTTTTTTCGCATTTTTGGTATCTGCGGATCATGATGTGTACGAAAACGTCAAATTTGAACATTTTTGAAGAAATTTTAGAACTCTGGATGGAAATTTATTTTTGAACAGAAAGTGACGGAGCGGTCTTAAAATTGTTATTTTCAACCCACAGAATCGTAGAAAAATGCGAGTGCCAAGATGTTATCCTTTGCTTGCTCTCCAAAGGCATCCAAAGTTGAAAAAATCACATTCTGCGTGATAACTCAATGAAATCAGTGAAATCTCCCAACTTTCACAACAAGAGTTTTTTACCTTTTTCAAAATAAAACCAACTATGCATTGAAACTTTTCATTTATGTTAGGTTTTGATTATTTTATTATTATTTTTTAATGCACTACTATAAATGATAAAACTAGTTATAAATGAACCCCTGTATGAAGAACGCTTTCCTGGTGTTTTTTTTTCTTGACAAGCCATTGACAAGATCTGTGGACTGTGGGCAAGATATGTTTATTTGTCATTGTTTGACATCTCGGGAATTTGTAAATACAAAGTTTGAATACAGGGGTTTATTTATAAGTAGTTTTATCAGTTATAGTAATGCATAGTAAAAATATTGGAAAAATATTTAAAAACTGGCATGAATAAAAAGTTTTAATGCATAGTTGGTTTTATTTTGAAAAAGGTAAAAAACATTTGTTATGAAAGTCGGGTGATTTCACTGATTTCATTGAGTTATCACGTAAAATGTGATTTTTTCAGCTTTGGAAGTCTTTGGAGAACAAGCATAGGATAATAACTTGGCATTCGCATTTTTCTACGATTGTGTTGGTTAAAAATAACAATTTTAAGACCGCTCCGCCACTTCCTGTTCAAAAATAAATTTTCATCCAGAGTTCTGAATTTTTTTCAAAAATGTTCAAATTTGACGTTTTCGTACACATCATGATCCGCAGATACCAAAAATTTTAAAAAAATATTGGGATGCCATTCAAAATTACGGAGTTAGGACCATTTCCGGTCAAACCGGAAGTTACCAAACATTGACACACATGTCAAAAGATGACATTTCTCAAACCTACACTCCATACCAAAAATCTTTGCCATCGAAAAAAAAACCAGCAAATGCCAGCGCGAAACTGATCTCGTAGACACCCGGTATATATATATTTTTTTTTTTGGTACAGAGCTTCAAGGTAAAAACCTCCAGGGAATGGGTCTACAAGAATTGCGTCCATATGGTGGAGGTTTGAGAAGCAAAAGAAGCGCCTGCGAACCGCTCCTTGACTTGACTCTATCTGCTGTTGATAATACCTTGATTGTCAGAAACACTACAAGCAGCAAAGTTCTTCTTATTGACACTGAACAAAAGGTTGTACTTCTATTAGATGGTAACTCGACTTCTGGTGTTGTCATCAACCAAGGAACAAACAAATCCACCCTCATCACAGACGGACTTTGGAATGAAAATGAGGAATCTTTAACCGAATACTTGAACTCTATCAAAAATAATATTTCGAGCCTTTTGGACCAACCAAATGGTGTAGATTTCACGCTGCCCAAGGTACCATTGAAGGTCTTGCAAGTAATTAGGCTTATTGTAGAAGATTTAGTAGTTCCTTCAGTTGATCCGAAAATAGAACAATACCCGGAAGTAGCTTTGGAACTGGTATTGTCTATTGCTGCTTGCATCGAAGAAATTCTTGAAGGACGCGTAGATGGATTATTAGAGGTAGGTTTGCTATAATTATTTATCGACATATTTAATTGTTAATTTTTTCAAGCAAATCGGAAACCAACAAATCGAACTTGCTGTTGACATTTCCGGTGTAGCGAATAGCCTAAAAGCACTCGAACTTATCCAAAACACAGTACAAAGTAAGAAAAATTCCAAATAATTGCATCATTTTTAATTATGTCAATTTCAGTCAGCATTACAGACCTCGCAAAGCAAAACGACAATCTCGACATTGGTCCAATCCTAGGAGCCCGTGATGGATTGAGCGCTCTTACTCAGGTTTTACGTCAACTTGGAAAAACTGTTGACCTGTCCCCTCTTGATAAAATTTTGGGAGATCCAGAACAACTAACCAAGCTCATTGCTAAATTTGGAGGTGACCAAAACTATGGAATTACTGGCGCTTTTAGGGTTGCCGGAGAAATTATTGCCCTCGCCAATGGAAATGCGACTCTGGACCGTGTCATCACTATTTTGATTACAGTTGTTGCTCAAACAAACCTGAACGTCAATGACGATTTGAGTGGAATTTTGCAGAATTCTTTGATTAATCTTTTGGAAACTTTAGAAAAAAACAACCCTCAGACACTAGAGGGCTTAGTGAAAATTGTGAAGGAATTGTTGACTAAGGAATTCATAGTTGGTAAGTGTATTTTTTTCAGCCTTGGAAAATAGTAAAATGTATTTGTTTCAGATGGGGTGAACATTTCTGATATTATTTCATTGATCCTTGCTTCTGCTGTCCAGCCTAAAGAAGAATTGTTGTCAGTTGTTGTTAATATTTTGAAAAGCTTGGATCCTATTGTAGAACCATCTGAGAGCATTCCAGCGCTTCTTGTGGTCATCATAGTTCAACTAGACAGTGCTGCTGGAGTAAGCATTTAAACTCAAAATGTTGCTTATATTAATTATTATTTTTCAGGTCAGAACTCTAGTTTTATTAGGACTGGAACTTGATTCAGACTGCGCTTGCAGTTTACTTGAAATCAGCTTGGCCTCAGCTTCCAGTTTAACAGAAATAATTTCTATAGAAATTTATGATGTTTGCAGCAAGTTGCCTATTATAAGTAACATAATTGTGACTTTGGAGGTTATCATTAGCGCGGAAAATCTTAGCTTGGAGGAACTATTGAAGGCATCCGAATTAGCTAAGAAATTAATTGTAGGAGTATTCCAATTGGTCGGTGACATTGAACTTGCAGTTGAGCAGGAAATACTGGAAGAATCCAAGGAACTTATAAGCAATTGCAACGATCTGTTTACTCTTGTTGAGATAGAAATTACTGTTAGTATTTCGGTTATCAGTAATTGACTACTTGATACTGCATTATTGGGCATGGGAAAATAATATTTTACATTGGGCAATTTATTGTAAAAAATGAAAATAAATGAAAATTGTGTTTTTGTTTTGTTATATTTATGTATTTTATTTTCATTATTAGAAATCACATTACATTATAATTATCCAATTTGATAATGGTACTGACTGACAGGAAAGTTGCTCAGAAACCAACTTAATATCAGTATCATACCTGATACAGTTTCCCTCCATAGATATTCACTAGGGTTGTTCAGAATGGCTTGTGACAAGCTTGAAGCAGTTGTTGATCTGATCTGATCCTCAGAATTTATTGAGAGAAATATTGTCACAACCCCTATACGTTTCGTCCTGCGACGCCACAACAGGACCGTGACTTGAGAGCGTAGGTGGGGTTCAGGTAGAGAGAAACTCGCATGGTATAGGTACAATAAGATATGTATTGAATATATAGAATTATATTACCCTAGGAATAGTAGCGGTACTATGACGTCTCTTCTACGGTGGGACGTACTACTTAGGCCACTCTGTATTATGCACACTCTGTCCACTTGGCGTGACTGAAGCTGGGTTTGAGACAGGTCCAGAAGGGCGTTTCCCAATGAAGGTAGTTTGCTAATTTACACTAGGAGGAGATTTACCTAGAGGGGCTTCTCCCAATTGAGGTACTTTACATTAGCCTTAGTCTGCCGCTAATGGATCTCGGCGCGGTATTTATACCAAATTAATGCTGACTCGTCGACACACTTTGATAAAATTGATGTACAGAGTGGTATTTATTCAAGTATTTGACAATATCCCAGTAGTTGCTGTATAATATTGATTTCGGAACAACAGAGTCACAGCTTGATCAATGTGAAATTATTACAATAATATCTTGAAATGGCTTAGGTATATGTGAGGGTTGAAATTCGCAGATAATTAAATGACTCAAATTTCCTTAATTAAGTTCTCTATTGTATTATTGGCACATGTTTATTAATTCCATTAGCTGACGACATTTGATTCTTCTCAATTTCCTGAGAGGTAACGTAATTTCTGATACGTGTTTTCATGTCGTGATAACGTAGCCTTCTTATGCTGTTTAATCTTATAACTAATTGTATGTAGTTTCTGTCTCATTGTTGATTGAGCTACCATTCTCTCGCCAATGTGATTGGAAATGCCTATCATCATCACCTTCTGCCGAATATTCTTTCTCCGACCCCTGTTAGAAAGCAGGATGCACCAATTCAATGCATGCCACTGAAATATTGCTAATTAGAGTGGAGATTGCATTTAGATGAGGCAATTTAAGAAAAACAAATCTTCTGGTCAATTTTACGCCATTTACTTGAATTTGACTATGACCCAACTGAACTTGACTTGTTTTCCGAGGATGTGTAAAGAGCTTCAGTACTTCTGCTTGTATTGAATATTGATTCTGTTTCTATGGCCTGCAGTTCTTCAAAGGTTCTTTGACATACCGCCGCCCTTGAAAGTATCAGAGAGATTCTTTTAAAAGTTTCAACTAGATTTTGGAGTAACAATATTTTACATTCCTCGCAAAAACAAGCAACAGCTGGGTTCAAATCTTGGACAAATATGAACTTAGACTAATGATGACATTCATCAGAAGATTATAAAATACATTTCAAAAATCACCTAAGTATACATAATCGAGTACCCATAATCTAAACAGTCCTATTTTTTAGGGTAAAACCAGACTTCCCAACAAGTCTTAGTCTTTAGACTTAAACTTCCACTTGAATTGTTGGTGGAGAGTATGCAAAAATTCGGTAGACCATCTTGCCCAAAAATCTTGTACCTATCATTGGGATTTCTCAATTTGTTGCAGGCAATCCGAAAGTCGATTGAAGTTAGCAAGTTTGCTATTTTTGATGAATCTCAAACAATATGCTACTACATTTATAGGCTTGGAACAAGATGAAAACTGGTGAAAAAATCTCATTAAATTCATTTAATTGAGATTTAGCTAACAAAACTAATGATTTGGGATTTAATTCAGGCATATTCAGGATATTATCATAATTTTTTCTAGTGAAATTCGAAATATGAGTGTCGGATGGCCTTCTTTCAGGCATATCTGACAAAAATAGAGCTCCATGCCACCAGAGATGATTTTTTTTCCAGTTCGAGCGGATTAGTACCCCGAGAGACAAGATCTGCGGGATTTGACTAGATTGAATATTATGCCAATTGTTAGTGTCAGATAATTGCTGAATTTCGGCTATTCTATTACAAACAAATGTTTTTAATTTTCGTGGTTCCAAACTGAGCCAGTTTAGAACAATAGCGGAATCTGTCCAGTAAAATAGGCGATCAATGGGTTCATCAAAAATACTTAATATACGTTTAAATAGTTTTGCCACATAATTCAAGAAGAGGGAGACTAACAACGTTGAGAGGGGCTACACGAGACGAGCACAAAATAAATTAATTTTTTCTACTGACGTTTCATAATAGCAACTTTTCGATTGTCATTTCAGTTTTGAAACGACATTCTTTTAGGCACTGAGTGCGTGAAAGTTACTTTTAGGCACTCAGTGCGTAAAAGTGACTTTTGAATGCGTAAAAGTGACTTATGAGTGCGTAAAAGTAATTTTTAAGCACTTGTGCCTAAAAGTGTCATTCATTATTCAGAAATAAAAAACACACTAAACACATATTTGAATTTTGTTTTGTATTTATTATGAATATTGAAAATGGAATTACTGAATTGAACGTTTGGGTTACTCAAAACAGAACTTTGTGTTATTACCTACTTTCTAGGATTAATTATTGATGTCGAATTTTGAAAAGAAAATCGCATGAAAAGTGTCAGGTGTCAAGTAAAAGCAGGTAACAAAGATTTTGGGTGTAATCGACTTATTCACATGAAATAAAATTGTGTTTTTTTATTATAAAATGCCAGTAGAAAAAATCTTGTATACAATACGTTACGAAACGATGTCTTTTAGTCACTCGACGTGTTGTCCAACTCGGCTTTGCCTCGTTGGACAATTTTCACGTCGCGTGCCTAAAAGACGCTCATTTCGTAACTTATTGTATAAATAGCTATTTATATCACCATCATATTCTTGACTCCGTACCATAAGCAAAAACAGATGAATCACTAAAGCCATGTATTTGAATATTTTTAAAATTTTTGATAGTGACTTGTCGAGGGATCCTAAAAAGCCATAATTTTTGAAGAATAATTTATCCTTGAAGTATTACAGGACCAAGGAGGCCTAACGGGTCGAAAGTTTGTGATATAATTGAAAGCATGTAACGTTTGGTTACATAAGCATGAGGATAATTGATGTTGACTCTATATGTATATAAAATTATCACCTTTAGAATCCCACGCAATTACCTTTGGAGCCTTGTGAATCATTGAGCATGTATTTCAGTTGCTCATGGGGAAAATCTGCAAGGGCTATAGGACTATTCGAGCTGAATTTTCTCAAGTTTAACCCATAGTCGGAAAAAAAAGATAAAAGGTTGTTTCTTATTTTAATCAAATCAGTCTCTGAATAAGCTCCTGTTAGAAAATCGTCAACATAGCAATCTTGAAATATAACTTTACTTTCAATGGAATGTTTTTCAGCTATGTCGAGAGAAATTTGCTTGAGGCGTCGATAAAAACGAGGCACTGAGATGTCCCATAAGTAACAGTAGATACTCAATTCGTAACTATTCAACTCATCTTCGTTATTATTCCGCTATAGTATCCTTTTTAGACCTCTTTACTCAGGATTTATGAGAATCTGTCTATACATCTTGGCTAGATCGTCTGTGAGCACAAAGTTATGTTTTCTGAAATGGAAAATAATTGAAAAAAGATCACTTTGGATGGTGGGCCCAATTTTTAGGACATCATTCAAAGAAAGTCCGGTAGAGGATTTAGATGAAGCGTCAAAAACAACCCTATAAGTTTGGTAGTAAGGCTGTAAATTTTCTCAACCGAATGGTGGGGTAAATTATATATTGGGTAATTCGAGGACTTATTTGGATTGATTTTTGTCATATGGCCTAAAGAAATGTACCTATTCATGAATAAAGGAGTTGCTCTTAGGGTGTTATTTTTATTCAATTTACGTTCAATACTAAAAAAATCTTTTAGTGGCAATTTTGCACGAATCTCCTTAATTAAAAACACTCTCCTTTAGCGGAAGGTCAATACAAAATCTGCCAGGAGAATCGTTTCAGCAAAATGATTTTCACATTTCATTTCCTAGCCTGATGCGTTAACTGGGATGCCGAAATTTGGGAATTTTCCTCAATATTCCAGAATTTTTCTAGAGTATCATAGAGGCTGTGATCTTGAATAGACAAATGACAAATTGCTTTTGACCTTGGAAATGGGTATTGAATTTGAATAGGCCCATAAATTACCCAGCCAAGCTTACTGCATTGTAATATTGGTCTGTTTTTTCCAAGCTTTATTTGCACGGAAATATGCAAGTCAAAAAACAAGCCTGCTCCAATAAGCAAGTCAATATCAGAGCCGATTAGACGGTCATCACTAAATTACAGCAAACAACCTGTTTAGTGTTGAATCCTTGTCTTAGATGGCGCCACGATCAAATTTCGACCGTCATCATACTTTATATCCTTGTCACATCATTAAAGAAACTATACCTACTCCTGTTTTTTACTCTTTTTATTTTCCAGCAATACAAGATGATAACAATAAGTTCGAAGAATCAGTCCACCAAGAAGAACGAATATTACTAATAGTTGAGAAAAACCATGTTGATAATGAACTTCATCCATTTGAGAACCATAGTGTCAAGATCCGATCTTCATTGCCACGAGCCAAGAGGATAGTATTTACACAAATGAAGTAACAAACAACATAATGGAAAATATAATTATCAGAGAGAAGAGGAGAGTAATCTAGAAAATGAACCTGAACCATTGAGTGATGATCATGACAAGACAAATTTTATTCAAACAAGCGAAAAGGAAAATAGTATCACAGATGAAGAGACTAAGGACATCAAGGAAAATGAGATAGATATTGATCAGCGAGAAGACGAGAATCCCATAGAAAATGAATCAGTTACAGACCAAGGAAACTTTGCTGATAGTGAACCTGAACCGTTTGGGGATAATATA